TTAGAATAGAATTAGAATAGAATTAGAATAGAATTAGAATAGAATTAGAATAGAATTAGAATAGAATTAGAATAGAAAATATATAATAGAAAATATATAATAGAATAGTATGGAATGGAATTGAATAGAATAGAATAGAAAATATAGAATAGAATAGGATTCCATTGCTAAGCAGGCAAATGTTAAGCAAGCTTTGCCCCATTTGACGACCTATCTTGCTGCAATTGTTAAGTGAATCCCTGCAGTTGTTAAGCCAGTAAAACGGTTGTTAAGTGAATCCGGCTTCCCCGTGGACTTTGCTTGTCTGAAGGTCCCAAGAGGAAGGTGGTGTTATGTGACCCCAGGACCACTAATGGTTTCCTCTTACCTTCGCTATCGGTTCGGAATTGGGAGCACATAGAGTGCTTGCTTCGCTTGCGTGCAACGCTTCTGCACATGCGCAGAGAGACTGTGATGACATCTGGGTGGGTGGGCGGAGCCTCCTGCCGCTACCGGTTCATTCGAACAGGGGAAAACCATCCACCTCTCTCTGGGACACTATGACCGTCATAAATATGAATCAATTCCCCAGGGTCCAAATTTTGATCACGTGACCACGGGGATGTGCAACAGTCGTAAGTGTGAAAACCGGTCACAAGTCACTTTTCCAGTGCTGCTGTAACTTTGAACAATCACTAAACGAGGACTACCTGTACATTCGTGAGGAATCTCCTTTGGGGGAGGGCTCAGGCATTCCTTATCGCAGCAACTCTTTGGACGTCCACAAGACCTAAAGTTGCCAAGGTTGGAGACCCCTGCTGTAGGGTCTTTTTCCCTTGCACAGGGGGTTGGACTAGAAGACCTCGCAGCTCCCTTCCCGCTCTGTTACTTTGTATTCTGAGACACGGGGGTGGGGGTGGGGGTGAGAGCTAGCTAGATTCCAGGCCAGGTGCCACATCATCGACCTGGTATGCGCTTCCTGGCTTGGGAATCTCCACTCCATGCAAAAGACAACAATACCCAGAGAAGAAAGAAAGGTCTGTCTGTCTGTCTCTCTCTCCCTCCC